TCTGGTTTTACTCTTCGATTTTTCGAATTTAGTATCGCGGTCGCGGTCGCGGATAGGTCGCGAGTAGGTCCCGAAACGAACGTTTATGTAGGTATTGCTCGAGCACGCACGTGCGAACGAACAACGATCACTATGATCGATGGTCGTCCACGTGTATTGGAATCAGCTTCCGCAGTTTATCTTTTCGTTTCACCTTTATAAGTTATTGTTTAGTTTGCGATTAGAAAGACTCGAGCTAGATGTAAGTTTCAGCCGGCATTGCGCTGGAAGAAAGAAGAGGCTAATAGCCGAAGAGGCCCGGCAAACTGCCACGAAGAGGGTCACAACAAATGACGTCTCATCCTCTGGGTCATTTAAATGATTCCAGAGCATGGGAAGTCATTCTCGTTACTACTTTGTCACTATGCTCTTTTAGTATTTGTAGTTGTATTTTTTTTTCTTCTTCATCATCATTCATCATTGTTTTGGGGCAAATCGCGGTTTTTCTTGTTAGTATTGCGAAATATTGATTATGGATTGAATTAGAGTTGCGAAGAAGTGATAATCGTGTTTGCTTTAGAGTTGCGAATTATGATATCGCGATTGTTTTTTACAATTTTTTATTGCTAATTTTCATAGTTGTTTGGTGTAAAATTGCTTTCTATTGTTTTAAATTAAATTATAGAGTCATTGCTTTTAATTAATTTTAGAGTGTTAGAATATTTGAACCAGCTTCTTGTTCGTTCAGTTTTGTATTGTTCATCGTAATTTCCATTGAATTTAATTTTAGTGCTGCGATATTATTTCATCGCGATTTCCAGTTACTTAGTATTGCGATGTTCCAATTACATTTTCTCTTAGTGTTGCGATAATGAATGATCGCGTTTCTTGAAGTAGTGTTGCGTTTACAAAATGCCCAAATTCTTCCACTGGATTCGTCGAAGTCTTCTGCTCCTGAATCACCTGATGCAGCTACAAGAGCTGTACAGAATTGGTGGTTCATCAACTTTCAGCATGGTTGGACGCGTCGCAGTTAGTGTTACGCATTTTTGAACATGAGTGCATAGTTTAATAGCGTTTTGTATATATTTTCGGGAGTTTTAAACATAACGAAGCACTCTTCGTGTTTGATTTTGAAAATGTCCTATTTCACAATGCTAGTGAATTAGTGTTGCGAAACAAGATACGGTTTGTTTCTCGGATTCGTAACGTAGATAATTGTACAATAGCCCTTCTGGTTATTATATTGAGCAGGAAATGCTTGTTTTTTAATAGCCCTTCTGGCTATTGTATCGCGATTTCCTTTTCAGTAGTCTAGCCCTTCTGGCTATACATTTTCTTTTTTTTTCCAAATGTCGGGATTATTTTAGTGGTGTGGAATTTTTGTGTTAAGTTTTTTAAACTACTAATCCAATAAATAAGTGTGTTACAGATTTGTCAATGGATCCACGTGGATAAGATTGAATAACGTAGATTGTGGAATTTAAAGGGAATGATGTCTGGATCTTACCTAATTAAATTGAATGGTAATTAAATACATTTTATTAAATTTATTTCACAAATCTTTTTGACATCAACAAAAGATTCTACGTGGAATGCACTAAATATAGAAAATTCTGTGAAATATCTAAAACAGAATGCAGTAGTTAATAATTTAATCAATAATTTTTAAACAGTCTTTAGCTTTTATTTAGTTAAAATTTTACAATTTTATAGTTTTATTGTTTTGTAGCCCCCATTAATTTAAGGCAACAATAAATATTGTAGTTTCTATATTTTTTACAAAGTGAAACTACGTTTGCACAGTTAGTTTTTAACTTATAATTTTGTTTTCACTAAATGTAAGTTTATAAATTTGTGATACATAATACTAATTTATGTAGAAAATAATTATGTTACAGTCAAAAATTAAATTGATCGTCTTTTAAGAATAACTGTGCAAATAAGAAAACGTTCACGTTTAACTCTATAAATAATTTTGAATACAGATTTAGCAAGATTATTCATATTTTCAATTCCTATTACTATTAGGTGCAAAATTTGATCAAATCGATATGGTAGAATGTGACATGAAAATGATATGGAGGTCAGGTAATCCCCAAACATGAAAGATGAAAAAGCATTGGTTTATCCGATCTAGTTAGTAAATGATTTTAGTTAGTCAATGATATTACAATCTCTGAAATGATTTGTTTTACAATTTTATCTTATTTCGTTAAAGTAATTTCCATTCGAATAGAATGCATCGAATAATTCTAAGTGCAGCTGATAGATGTCGTCGTTAGGTAGATCGAGCGCTCCATTGTATTCTTAATTTAGCATCTGACTATTAATTATCATAATAGTTTTATAATATCATATAAATATTCATAATATTTTAAAAATATTCTCTATTCAAATAAAAACCTCTCAAGTCAGTTATGTCGTCTAATCCATTAGGTATCTGAAAGGTCCTTCAGGTATATAGGAAAATAAAATATAGAATGTACGCATATTTTATTGCTAATTAATAATTTTTATTCTGGGAACATTGGAATTAATAAATTAAATTGAATTTAAACAATGTAAATTGCGTTTTCTGGTTCTTGGGTTTCGTTCAAAAGATAAGCTTTGTTAGAATTGATCCAAGATGTGAAGGATGACACTCTGGTGTAAACGTCGGGTTTCCCGACGGCGCAGGGTTGCCCAAAGGAAACGATACCAACTTGCACGTTATTAACGACAAGTGGACCGCCAGAGTCACCCTGAAATTCGAAAGAAAGAAAAATTAATCGCCAATTGTTTACAAGAATTAATGTTTCATTCTACGAAAGAACTCTAGCACTGATCCAACTATAAACTCGAATTTAACATCGTTTGAACATAGATTATAATAATTATACTCACGTGGCATGCACCTTCTCCTACTTTAGTGAATGTGCAGATGTGAGAACTCTGAACTCTGTTGTGGGCCTGCTTGCATTTTGCCTGAGTTTCAATGACTAAGTTAATGTATTGCAAGTTGTTTGGTGGGTTTCCTCCAAGCTGTAAAAACAGACATACGTTTAAATGTTTCATATTGTCGAATATAATTAAAATAATTCGAAATCTTCTAAATGAAAGCAACTTCAGATCTTCTTAAGTGTCATTCTGACAAGTAAGCTTTAAGCAGTTTTCTATACAAAAATCCTAAATTCTAACATTTCAAATTTCCTGAGGAGAAGTTATATTGGGAGAATTAATCTTAAATAGTTTTCACCATGAAATTTTCAATTTTTTCATCAAGAAACTCCTTAATCGTTACATTTTGAAATCATCGCCGAAACAATTATATCTCGCACTCACTCTGGTAGTTCCCCAACCGGAGAGAACGCAGGAGTCTCTTTCGTAAGTCTTGCTGCCAGTTGCCAAAGCGATTGGTCGGACCAAGTTGTTGAACGCAATATTGTTGCTCAGAAGAATCAAAGCCACATCGTTAACGAGGCTGATTGAGTTAAAACCTTTATGCGCCACGATCTTACTAACTTTGTAAGACTGTCCCTGTTGGTTCAGTTGATTTGTTCCAGCGTGTACGCTAACGGAGTCCAAGTTGTTCAAACTGTAAAACAAACATTGATTTTCTTAAGTCAGTGGCAAACTTTCTCAAGCTGACACTTAATTATTAAAGAATTAATTTTCCTTTTGTGATCATATCGAACATTTTGAGCGTTTGCTTCTCTTGGAACGTACCCTTGGACACAGTGAGCTGCAGTGAGGATGGTACGTGCGTCGAGGATGGATCCACCACAGAAGTGGCTTCCAGACCTTCTCAGAGACACTTGGTAGGGAAACTGTCCGCTCGATGCATCTCTGCCACCGACAATTTGGCTCTCAGGGAAGCCTATCCAAGACAATATCGTAGTGAAGTTACTGCTTTCACGGCTTTATGTAGTTCAACTTTTGTTTAGTTACTACAGTCGTTTATATACTGGAGAGTCGTTTAGATATATTAGGAAATTTAAAATCATCAAAATAAAGAGTTCCATTGATGGCGAGTAACAATCGTTTTAACTTCGAAGATTCATTCAATTTCATAAACTGAAAGGAAGTTTCGCTATACATTGATTTCTGTTTCCATTTCTAAAACATTTGGAACCTTATTGAATTAGCTACCTTGACTTGTTTCGGATCAGACGTGAAGGTTACATTTAGAATACACAAGTATGAAGTATAGACTACAAAACACAAATTTTCAACTTCTTTCTTCGGAAATTGTTTTAGAAAACTTCGAAAACTGTCTGAATTGTTATTACTTACCAAATGCGGCGACTGCAAGGCAGAGCACAAATGAAGCGCTTAAAGTGAACATGTTCGTAAGAAGGTTCACAAAACTGTAATTGACAGAAGCATTGATCGCTTTATATACGCGCCGATAAAGATAAACAAAATATCAGGTTATTATCAGAAACGTGAATAAGCGCAGTCACAGTAAATAACGATCAAGCAAAATCAGTAGCTCTGATTATAAAGACAGATATACCTAATAGTATCAGTATCATCAGCTATCAGTTTCTTTTCTTTTTTGTCTCTTTTTTTTTCTAGGGGGCAATTAATTTGATAAAGGATACAAACTTGATACACGGTTCGGATAGCATATTTTTTTAACAAACATCGCGTGAAAATTTCAATTGATAGTATGCATTGGTGGGATTTCAAACGACATCTTTAATCTTTTAATTATTGCCTCTTGTAACGCAGTTGTATTAATTGTTTAATTTATTGTTTAGACGTTGACGGGCACTCGACTGACGCGTAAAATAGAAATTTGATTGACATTTCTTTGATAAAAAAAAAAAAAATGCTGGATCCCCGAGCATTTCTTGACAAGTAGTTACAAAGTTAATGTATATTTGGTAATGATATTCGCGGTTATCTTGCTTTGTTCATCTTACTAACACGTTGACTACTGCGGCTATTTTTCTAAATATTATATATGATATTTTTCTAAATAATTGAATAGATAATACAGATAAATAAGAGAAGAATGTGCTTTCACTGCACTTTCATTTAAAAAAAAAATATTTCGTAATATTTTCTAGAAATTAAATATTCCGTTCCATAGGGAAAAAGCATGAATATCACGTGATTTTCTGCAGGAAAGTGAGACCTTCCACCTTTGAGTATTTTTTTTTCCAAATTTCTATTTTTATCGAACGAAATTCCAAATTTTCGCGAGTTACGAGCAATTACACACAAACTACAAAGATCAATTTTTCGGCTCGTTGCAATAATTCAGATTGAAAGAGCAAGCGAGCCTCCTTCAATTCTATCTCCTAATATTCTTTCCAAACTTCTGGAAGAATTTCGTCTTGTTCATGCGCAACACGCCGGGCAAAAACTTTGTAATGAGCGAAACGAGCGGGGTGGGACGATGTTTGCAAATCATTAGCACGACAGCAAGGGCTGAGGGTTGGTACTTTGGGACGAGGCGAGGGTTGAAAGTCTGCGCGATGTCTTGCAGGTATATACTCGCATTATTACCAGGCGTATTCAAGACGCTTGTTTCATTTCATTAATTACAACACAACATTTACTGAATATCGCAAAACAATGTTCTACGAATCGTCGTTAATCGTGCTTAAAAATCTTTATTTACTGTCTATTAACTTGATAATTCTGTGTAAAGAGATCGGTATCTTCAACGAGATAAAATAAAACAGTAAGTTAATGTAATTCTCATAATAGATAGTAAATTAATAGATAGTAAAAATAGATAAAAATAAATGGTAATTAATGGTAATAAATTATTTGTGATTTAAGTTAGAGAGTATTCGTAAACTGTAGCCTACGAATTTTTATTCAGCTATATATTTCTCTGAACGTAGTAAAAGGAAACCAGAATTCATAGAGAGATTTATTGTCCAATTATTAAATATTATAATGCTTAATTAATATAAATATTATAATTTCAATTACCAAATACAATAATAAAAAATATTTTATAGTTTTGTTGACCATAGCCCCATAATTACGTAGTCAATTTCTTAAAAAAATGTATGATAGGAATCAAAGATACCGATTTCTTTGCTCACGATTCTATTGTATATTTTTGCGCAGCACGTTTATCAAATGATCGAATTGCAGCCGATTGAAACGCAATTTCAGTATCAGGATAGTATTCGAGATAAATTCTCACGACCTGTGAGAGTGAAATTCCAAATAAATTCTATTCTCGATCTTAATTTTATTAGAGAAACGTTAATAAGAACGATGAGTAGGTGAATAGGTTTCGTTCGTTGTGTATTCTGCAAATGAATATATCTTTGTGGTTCCTGGTAATTCTCCGAGCATCCAAAGGGGATTTCGCGTCCCTAAGGACCAGAGAAGGCGATTGCGAATAACAAGAACCCTTCGTCTACGCCACGAGTCTTGATCCTGTTAACGGGATCATCCGAGCGCCGCTGATAGAACGAAAGACCGTGAGATAAAACCAAACTCCCTTGGATCTTTCTCTCTAGTTGTTGTTTCGAGGTCACTGGATCAATTCGTAGAAAGCTGTGTTTTCCCTTTTAGAAAGCCGTTTCAGACTTTTCGGCGTGGAGTATGGTTTCCTCAAACTAGCGTTAAATATTACAGTAGAACTCTTCCTTTATAGCGATAGATTCCATTTATTTGAATTGTCTGGCTCTTACTAGTTCAATTCACTTATTTAAAGCTGAACTCGTATCATATAAAGATTCACTAATGGAGAGGAAATTCAATTACGAATAAGTAGTATTCGTACCCTCACAATTATTCAATTTAAATGATTAATTTTTTTAACAGTAGATAGTAATAATTAAGTATTTGATATATATCCTTTATTGAAAAATAAATAAATAATACGAAACTCACTACAATATAAATGGAAATTTTAAAAAATAGTCGAATTCAATAGCGAATTATATGTCTATAATTCACTTGTAAACTATTTGTCCCCAAATTTATATAAATAGATTGTGTTAGAAGAAGGAAAAATGCTATAAAAAGTTAAATATTAGAATCAAACGTTTAGTGTTGTCGTCCTCGTATTATTAAGAAAAAGAATTTTATTGTGAAGGAACTTTATTAAGAAAAGGAATTTTATGTTGAAGAAGATTTTGAAAAATATATATAGTGATAAGCGGCAGTGGCATGCACGTTTGAATATTCGTAGAAAGGTTTGCAAATCAGATTTCTCGACGTTAGGCCGATTCGTAATGCTCGGTCACCATATTTACATATGCATATCATTTGTCGCAGGGGAGAAAGCTCTGTGCTGGTAATATCCCAGAGGACTCTCCATATATCCAAATCGCATTACCGCGCTGCCTATTTCGTGCTAAGGTACGTCATGAACGATTTGATATGCGTGCGGTTTAACCAAGTTAACGATCCGCCATGACAGATGGTGATCCGAACGATTTCCCTACTCGCCGTTTCCATCGACGAGTTTCCGGTTCTCTTATCGATCATCAGCAACTCGATATTTGACTTTCTTACAAAAGTCAATTAATAGTTTAATAGATAATTTCAATGGTGATGTTTCTCAAAATATCATACTCACAATCAGCCAGTATCGAAATTATATTTCGGCTTTGAAAATTTGTTTGCAAGACTTTAGGAAAAACCACATTATATAGGAAATACCACATTGTTGATATTATTAAGAATACATTTTCATAAATTACTGCATAAACTTTTTACTGCAATAAATTTTAGTAACAGTGCTCTGAAGCCGACGCAATAATGGCACGTAAATAATTAAATGAACCACAAATTGCTTTTCCTCTCGTAATGATTTCATTCCTGACTCTAATTCTGACGAAAACCAAAATTTTCATAATTCTCCGAGGAAAGTTATTCTTCTAAAAAATAAAATTCCACTTTTAACTTTAATTCTAATGGAAGTTTGAATTTCTAAAGAAAGTACTTTTTTAAAGAGTTGCTATCACACTGGGTAGAGTATATCTTTTGCAACCATTATCTTCCTTGTATATACTCTATTCTACTTTTATTCACGTAAAGAACGGCCAAACGATTTTGAAAATTGCCGACTCTCGAACGGCGATATTTTTTGTTCTCCATCCTCAACTCGCGTTGAAATTCCCCGAGACAGACGGACGAGGATTTCTTCGACTTCTTTTCCACTTAATGGTCTGCCTTGTACTTAAAAGTCGCGAAGACCCGAAACCAAAGGAACGTTGTTACACACTGGTCAGCCGCAACAAACACTTTTGAGTGTATGATTTTTGAGGGTTATGCCTCGTAATTACACATTCTTCTGGTCGTTGCCTGAAACTTTGAGGGTCACATTTAGACCGGGCGAGAATCGACAGGCCGTGTTTTTCTCGCGCGTCTCTCCCACGATCCGAAGGAATCGCGACGTGCGTCGTTTTACACCGCGCGAGAACCAAAACATCCGCGTCGTATCTTTTTTTCGATGAAAGGTGTTATTTTTTTTTCTTTTAAGTCTCTTCTTCTTTTCTGAGATTTTCTCCTTTCGACCAGTTTTTTTGCGCTATTATAATGTCGTAACAATGCCGCAAGAGATGTAATTGTTGTTAGAAGCAAAAGGTTAATACTATAATAACTGGTAATTTTCGAAAGTAACTCCCAGTAAGAAAGAAAAATTTTTACTAAGAATTAACAAAACGTAATTCTTACTGTGTGTAAAGAAATGATCAGATTAAAAGTAAGAATAATAGAATGAACACTAATCATCGGATATGGCATGTCATACGCTTCTCTTTTGGAAAATGATACAGAAGAACATAGTTTTTTCTTTCGAACATATCTGTCGAATTTTATAAAAGTCTAGAGAAATCAGGAAATTGATAAAATTAGTTTTTATTTTGTAGACTGTTTATAAATAAAAGTCACAGTTTCTTCTGGAGTCGAGTCGATCGAAAAAATTGACGATGATAACATCACAATCATTGGAACCTCCAATGCCGGAATTACGGATTTTGTGATTATCATCGTGTCAGCTGTCAATGATAACGCGACAGCCGTTATCGTAGCCGTGATTTTGAGATGTTGATGATGCAACTTCATCAATAAACGCTCGTACATCGTATTCGAATACACTTACACGGGATACGATAATAATTGCTAGTGTATAGAAGCTACCCTGTGTTTACGGAGGACCTACTATTAGTGCAAACATGTATTACCCGTCCGGTTGTTCTCCCGTTTATGGCTGCTAAGTGATTTCAACCACGAGCACCTGTAGAAAGTGCCGACAAATTGAGCATTTACGAACGCGAAGAAGACGTCAACGTGTGGGAAATTTAGAGATTTACTTCGACTGTTTGAGAAATTTTCAATAATCCATTTCGACGAGCAAAAAATCAATTTGTTTTCCTTTCCTGCATTATATCCTCAACTTTTGTGTAGATGAGAAAAGTAATGATTGTTAAACAACTGTAGTGCAAGTAAATTTGGAATTTTAAAATTTGAATATTTTGTACAAACTATTCAAAGAATCAGAATCAGAAGCAGTGATATTCTTACAAAAAAATGAGAAAATTGGAGAAAAACAAACGTAGTTTCTTATACTTCTTAGATTAAACCGTAATCATTTTTGGTAGAATTAACCCTCTATATCCAAAATTGGATTTTCTATGATCTTTTTACTAAATTTTTACGCCATTAAACTTTGCCTTTTGACTTATGTGTTGTATTATATTTATGCTCAAACGTTTCTGTTTTTAATATTCAGTAATATTTAAATTCAGTAATTTCATGTATATATTTCATAATACAACAGAGCCTGTGTT